AAAGAGTAGCTAAGTATAGAAAAAAGTGCTGCTGATGTACTGGACCCATACAGCAACACTGCACTGGGGCCCTTGGGGCTCGTGGAAGGGCTCTTTTGTGGTTAAGGTTTAAAACTGAACATTTGGCGACACTGGTTATTTAAAAATCAGATAGCCTCACTAAAACTACGGGGCTTAACCTAGTCTGTCAGCTCAATTAATTGAATAATTAGGTTCTGGTTTTCTTTATATTTCTCCTGCAGGATCAAAATCTGTATTTCTTTTAACAGGATCGCAATCACTTTCTGTTCTGAGCTGCCAGGCAGATAGCACTGCATAATTATACAGCTGTATAGCAGTACAGCATGTCTTATAATGCACATATGTATTGAGTGTTATTTGTATCCTTTGGGGTTAGAAGTACAGCATAAATTCAAATTCTTGATAAATTAATGGTGCTGTTTTTCTACCCCGTGGCTCTCAATGAAAGAATCTGAAAAAGTTAATGGGGACAAATGTTCCCGTGGACACATAGCTCTACTGAAATTAATCCCTCTTGTACACCAATGTCCTCGGCTAATGTACGGGTTGAAAACTAGGAGTGGACATTAGAAGGAGAACGCCTGCTATTTACTGATGTTTGTTAGCCTTCACTTCAGCACTATGTATGATCAGCAAAGGGGCATATGCAATTGGCACAGAGATTCTCTGCTGGCTTCACAGGCCTCCAGTTTAAACCTGCCACGCAGTCCACACCCTGCATTCCCTTACTTGTTTGGGATGTGGTTGTGGGTAATGGTTCTAGCTAGCAGTAATATTGCATAGCCTTTAATTTTGTAAGATAAAGGCAGGAAAGAATAATTCAGAATGACTGTTTGGCAAAGGCCAAAATCAGTAGGAGGAAGAAGATGTAAATGCTTTGCGTAATTTTAAGGTCTATTCTTCCTTTATATAGCTACATAGAATATCGATTTAATCTATCTGTTGTCTAATACCTATTTAAATGAGATACGAATCATCATGTTTGTGGAATACTGTAACAACAGAGTAGTTCCTTTGCTCTCATCTGTCTTCCCTTTCCTTCCAAAGCAATTCCTATTTAGGAAATTGTACATATGGCAACTACATTTGTCAGCAACAAATTTTATTTACAGCTTCTCAGGATAGCGTAAACAAACCACCCCTCTGAACTGGAAGAATTCCTGGGGGAACCATTCTCCATAACATGTAAAAGCAACGTCAGCATCACTGCTAGTGACTGCTAGTGGATATGGGTACACGACAGTGCTGAGCATGGGCTCCGCACAGCCTCTCCCTCCCGTGAGGTCTGCGAGGTGTGTCCTTCCTACCTTTCTATGGCAACCACACTGGCAGTTATTACTTGAATTAACAGAGCTTGCTGTACTGAAAAGAACTCAACATGCAACAGACTTAAAAGGATTAAACTCCTAGGTTTTTAGCTCTGCATCATGTTCTTATACCTCTTTTTACACAGAGCCCTCACCTGTAACGTTTCTCACAACAGCCAATAGTGAAAGCGTGACTAGTCTGGTTAGAAGCATAAGATGCAGTCACATCCCTGTCCGACTAAACATGAAGACACTTCAAGATAAAGAGTAATTACAGAAAAACTTCCATCTTTTGCCTTTGTTATGCTGCTGAAGGAGTCCTAACAGGCCCATAAGTGTACATTCTAGATGACCTGCTGTCACCCACGTGACATACGTAGAGATGAATTTCACTCGTAGGGCAGGCTTGTGTCACAATTGCATTTCTATCAGACTGGAGACAGGGAAACTTCTTAAAAAAACAAACCAATATACCCTCTCCAAAACCCTGTCTGCAGCATCTAGAATGTACTATTTCTAAGTACACAGAACAAATTTAATCGTGTCAGGTAGTCAGTTCAGAAGAGTGCGGTTTTGGCCATAAGCAGTTTCTACTGAAACATGTCCCAAGGGGTTACCTGTCCAGGTGCACTGGCCTCCATCTCCTCCGTCTCAGAGTCCCTTCTCTGTCACACCACAGACCATGTAATGCGGTCACTATGGCAGTCTCAAGGACACCAGCTTTACTGAGCACCTGGACAGTGACTGTCCCACAAGGACTGGGTTACACTGGGGAGCAGACTGGTGCTGCCAGGACCACTGCATGTGCACCTCCTCCTTGCCATAAAGAGCTCACGGGGTGTGAACAGGATTAATTGTTTAGTTCTAAATAAGGGGAACTCAGTGGCAACTGAGGTTAGTTTTTGCTTTCTTAATGGTTCATGATGCCAAAGCAGCTTCCTTGATATCATGTTTAAATTAATGTTTTAGTAAAATGCTGCCCATGTTACTGCCATGTAATTATTGTAATTCTATCCCCTCTGCCTTGTGTAATTTCTGATGATCACTTACTATTTTTCTATAAGGTCTATTTTTGTTCTGATTAAATGGTGAGACAGACTGAACTAGGTGAACTGTCAAATACGTAGAAGACTTTTCAGCATAAAACTATTCCCAAAATAAGCATTTCCCTAAGAGACGACTTGACAAACAACCTGAACAATAAAATTCTTGAACACCACCCAGTTGATGGGAGTCTTTTCAGGGCTAATTTACATAATTTGACATAATTACAGTTATAAACACTTGAAGAAGCCTTGGAAGGAAGACTGTCACTGAAGCCTACATTTTATTGGGTCTCATGGCATTTGGCAGCTGTACAAAACTGTGGAGCATGGAAATTTGCTCAGATGGATCCTGATTATACAAACACATAATACAAGCTTTGAATGCTCAATGCAAGTTTTTCCTGTACAGAAAGATACCACAAAGCCTCCCAAGGCCTCTGTGCAGCCAGCCAGCGTGATGTATAATGAAAACAGTTTAAGGTACTGGTGGTGGCTCCCTCCATTTGAATGCCCATTAAACCACTATTTTGACCACAAGTTAGCAGTGGACATCTGAATGTCTGACTCCAGTTGCCTACAATTGAAGGTAGCCACATAACTTAAGATTTTAACACCAAAGTAAAACAGAAATTAAAAAAAAAGGCATCAAGTCTGATAAATACATATATATACATACACACACTTCTAATCAGAGATGTAAATTAAGAACTAAATAATTCTGTAATAGATCTACAGAAGCCAGGAGACCACTAGCTGAGGATGATCTCTATTTTCTACTTTTGTCACAAGGATTTCTCTCATCATTGCACTTCAACAATGTAAGGGAAGAAGAAAAAGTTATCTGACGAATACCATTTCCAAAAAGCTGTACAGTCTTCTATTAACCAGGCTGGCGTCCATGTCTCACTACAGACTATCATGGTGCACCTCAAAATACAGCATGTTTTGTAGAAAAGTGAGAAAATTTCCTCATTCAAATTTGAAGCTACATGTCTGGAATGCAGGGCAAATACTGATTTTTGTGCTGGTCAGGGAAATGTAGTTCAATTGGTTTATCCTGCTCTGGTGGGTTAGCCTTGTTCCCATTCCCTTTCTGAGACAATTCTCTACTTGCACTACTATATTTTTAATTATCTATATCATCAGACAGTCTTGTTGAATGGCTAGAGAATCCAGAGAAGTCAAAGCATACTTGCAGCCAAAGGAAGGTGCTATCAAAAGCTATGGCCAGCACCTACATTGTAATAAATGATTCACAAACTTCTAGACAACATAAGCATCAATACTTACGGCCCTGCTTGTTTTCAGTAGTTCTGCTCACTGCATAATATGGAAAATAAATGCCAGAGCTTTAAAAAGTAGCAGACAGCTTCCAGTGTATTCACAGAAAAACATCCTTTCACCAGACTAAATGGGAGCATTTCAAATGGAGTTGATCGGTTGATCCTGGCAAGCCTTGATTACTCTCATTAGCTTTCTTCTAGCTTACAGAACACACAAGAGGCTGTGTACCATGCTGTATGTTGAGAAATAATGTCATTTTAATTGCATTGGGTATTAACAAAATCCTTTTTGAGCAGCAAGCTTTTAATTATTTCAGTTGTCTCTTAATTTATCATAAGGAAACAACTAATTAGCTTTCACTTCTGGGTAGAAGTTTCTTTGTAGAAGACTTAAGCACAGTCCATAGAGTCTAGTTTAACAGCAACTACACCTTCATTGCGAGACTGTATTTGGAACACAGAATGGAAATACAGAGAGAAAACAAATCTAAAGTACTTAAATACCACCTTTGAAGCTTTTAATAGTTAAATTATCAATGCATTCTACTGCTGTCCCCCAAAGCAGATGTAACGTAATCAGTATTTCACAATAGCAGCAGAGTTCTGGAGTAGAAATGATTGTCACCAAATGGTTGGGTTATACAGGGCAATCACCGATTAGGTGGACAGTACTAAAATGTTACTGAAATACTATTTAAATAAATATGTTAATTATGCTTTTTTACAATGGCACTAAAAATCAAGTGCAGAGATGGCCACAGTGAGGCCCCTTCTCATTGTTACAATTTGAGAGCAGACATAATTCAGATTCTGCCCTTGAAGGGAGTGAAAGTAAAAGCTGAGATGTCTTTCCAGGTTAGGGATTTACGGTCTGCTGCTTGGGAGCTACCCTTTAAAGACAAAGATCTGGATCACTTTCAAGTATAAATACAAATTATGTTAATCGTATGCTTTACTGATTTCTGTCAAAATGCTCTCTGCACTATGGTAGATGCTAAACTGTATTACCAATGTCGTAAAATATACTGATCGTGGCTGTAGAAGTCAAAGAAAGAAACTAATGAGTTGGGGTTTTTTTGATTGAGATAATTCTGTAACAGTACTCTACCTTAGAAACAAATAATTTATTGTGAACTCAGAAAATATAATACAAGTTTTATAACCTGCTGAGGCAGATGCCTGTAGATGGCATTGGGATCAAATGTAAACATAGCTTCCTGGCTCCATGCAAAGAAAGCAAGGACCAATCTGGTTGTGTTCTGTTAGTAAACAGATTACTCGCACTTCGGATACAGAAACAGAGCTCTTAAAAGTTTCTGAAATGTCTGCTGAGTAAGAATTACCTGAGTAAACTGCCAGTAAAGCTTCATTCTCTTGGCTTTGGCATAATTGCATTCAATGAGCCTGGGCCTGCTGTTCACATCCACCAGGCATCTGTTGTCATCATCGTCGATAGTGGGACTCAGAACACCCACATGGAGCTGCTGATTGCTTGTGTAATAAACATTCTGCAACAGGAAGCACAAACAAAATTTGTGGCCTCTAGACAGAAGCAGCACTTTTACCAAAAAGCGAACGGCAAAGATAAATACGCTGAATAGCAGTAGGCTGACCCCATAGAGGCTTTTAAATTGTTTCCTTTCATGCAGGAGGCAACACAACATTTAAAAAGTTGTTCCAAATTAACAGTTAATTTTTACCAATGAGTAAATGTTGGTTAACTACTTAATAGGAAATATGCAAACAAAACTGGTTGTTGTCTCATCATGTGCCTTTTTATTTCTGTTTCCCATGATCATGCGCCCTGTGTCCTCGAAAAGCAAGATGTGCACCCTCTAGCAGAACGTGGGGTTAATTTGGGTATTGCCGTCGACTCCAATGAGGCTGTTTCATCTGAGGCTACCACCTAACTGGAGAGGTAAGAAAGTGAAAAGGAGCACAGCGGTTCA